TACTAGTAACAAGAAGCTGCTAGTAACAAGAAGCTGCTAGTAACAAGAAGCTGCTAGTAACAAGGGCATCGCTACTGGTAACAAGGGCATTACTACTAGTTTAGTAGCATTCTTGCTACTAGTAACAAGAAGCTACTAGTAATACGGGCATCGCTACTAGTAACAAGGGCAGTACTACTAGTAGCGTTCTTGCTACTAGCAACAAGAAGCTACTAGTAACAAGGGCATCGCTACTAGTAACAAGGGCATGACTACTAGTAGCATTCTTGCTATATAGTATCAAAAAGCTACTAGTAACAATGGCATCGCTACTAGTAACAAGGGCACTACTACTAGTGGCATTCTTGCTACTAGTAACAATAAGCTAATAGTAATACGGGCATCGCTACTAGCAACAAGGGCAGTACTACTAGTAGCATTCTTGCTACTAGCAACAAGAAGCTACTAGTAACAAGGGCATCGCTACTAGTAACAAGGGCATGACTACTAGTAGCATTCTTGCTATATAGTAACAAAAAGCTACTAGTAACAATGGCATCGCTACTAGTAACAAGGGCACTACTACTAGTGGCATTCTTGCTACTAGTAACAATAAGCTAATAGTAATAGTAGCAAAGGGCTTCGCTACTAGGGCATCGCTGAGGTTGGGCAAAATCGGTCAGAAACTACCCAGTGGGCTTGAAAGGCGTGTGCCTCACTGGTGAACTGCCGATGGAACCACTCCTGGGCCTCGGCACACTCTTGAGCTTTGCTCTGACAAGAAGGGCTGGCCCACAATGACAAAAAGGACAAAAGGTGTCCTTTTGCACAATGTGTTCCTACTGTTTCATTCTATGGCTATTTCCTCTATTTTTAGCTTTCTTGTTCTGTCTTTTCTTGTCATCGTCTTTCTACTTCTTCACAACAGCGGATCTCTACAATCAAACGTAATGCAAGTTTTCAGCAACTTACTCAGGGCTTGCGGCCAAAGCATCTCGACCGACTCGTGGCGAGAGGGACTTCCATCTTGACGGGATCGGAGTCGCTCTATGATGGCCATGGCCTTGAGAGACGGATTAGCATCTCGATTGACCATGGTAAGACATGGGTAGGGATCAACATATCAAGGCTGTGTTTGGATCAACAAATCACAAATGTTCGACGATCGCCTCTTGTCGTTCTCTGTATATCTCGTTCATCTGATCCGAACCTGTGGGCAACTGTGGACAGTGCAAAGAACATTGGTAGCGTTTTCGACCCTGGTGGATACCTCTGCTCAGGTCGCCCCTGAAGCTTGGAGGTGCCTTAGCAACTCTGAGACATTCTTTTTCCAAAAAACATCGGAAAGTTCCTGGGAGACATAGAATGGCCATAGAGAATGATCATAGAATGGGCTGGATACATCTGGATACATTGAATTTCAAGCCTTGCCGGAGCGAAATTAGCATGATTATATAAGCGCTTGTTCTTTTTCATGATGCCTCCCAGAAATCATTTCGCCCTGCGTACACAAAGCCGTTGTTTTTTTGCAATGCTGCACTATGCAATGTCACTTCCTTCACTCAGGCAGACTCCTGTTCTGAGCGACTCTCATTGGATGCCGAAAGCCGGCGACAGCATGCTGCTTCCTACAGGGCATGGAAGATGTGAGTTGCTACAACGGATTGTATCTTTTTGAAACGCGAGTTTTGGACCGTCAATATCCTTAAAACAATCCGTCCTCCGCCACTTCTCGCCTTGCTTCGGTCAACCTGAAGACTTGAGACTCACTAAGCACAATAAGCTTTCAACAGCTTTGATGACATTGAGTCTCGAAATCATGTTCATATGATACATATGATTCAATGAATCCGAGGATGGAGCTCACGAAGACAAGAGGCATGCACATCAGCCTCTTGTTCCGCGCGTCGCCGTAGCCCCACAACCAAGTCGTCCGCCATCTGAACAAATGGTATCATGATAGAGAAGGCAAAACAAGAACGCGCAAATCAAACTTGGCAAGCTGGTCAGCTGGTCCCTGCATTTCAGAGCCTGCAACTGTCGAACAGCTTTCATCAAGGACTCTTCGCTCTCTTCCTCATACTCGCTCCTAATTGCAGAAGCTGCGGTCATCTCGCAGAAATGGTATTCCTGTGGAGGCCATCGCTAGTAGGTTGGAGGCCATTGCTAGTAGGTTGGAGGCTATTGCTATTAGAAACAAAGAAAAAGAACAAGAAGAAAGGTCTAATAGAAATTCGCATTGCCTCAGCTTGGACACCACCACATCCATCTCTTCCCTCGCCTGCAAACCGTTTGGCCGGCTCTTGACTGACAGAAAAGAAACTGGACACGGCAGTCTATTGTACACTAAGAATCCGGGTCTGAAATGGAAATGGTCCGTCCTCTGCTATGGTCGAGAGATACAGGCAAGCTTCCAGATTCCAGGGATTGAACAATTAAGTTACGTTACTAATATATATATATATATATGTATAATTATACATTTAAAAAAAGAAACAGTAGTCCTGAAATACGAATCAGAAATCCATGTTTTGGGGAATATGAAAAAGAATATGAAAAATACATTATGAAAAAAATACAGAAACTGTAGGACAAAAGTGGGAAACGTGAACACTAATAGCTATTTTGTATGTTGTTGGCACTGTTTCCTATGTCGGTTCGTAATTGTTTGCGTAACAAAAACGATAACAAGATGACAACACTGCAAATGACTCTTTTTCGTACATCTGTTTGTCTGTTTTACAAAAAAACGGAAGCAACACAGTACAAACAAAAAAAATGAATCAAATACGACATAGTATTGCTGTTCATGCTTCGTAGTTTGTCCATAATTGTTTCGTACTCCCAAAAACGATGATACGTGTTTTTGCTTTTTCTGCTTCATATTAGTTGTGTATCTTTTTGTTTGTCTTTCATTACAACAATAAATAAAACAGCATCAAGCTTCACAAGTTCATTTGTCTCAATGCTGGAGGGTCCAAGGATTCTTGGAGTAGCCTGTACATATTGTAAATTATATGATCCAATATGCTGCATATATCTGCATATTATGGGTTCAATTGTTTGCATTGTTTCCCCGCCTCATTCTTCATCGCGACCTCTAGCTTGAGGCTCTCATTCTCTTGCCTGATTGAAAGGAACAACAAATCTCCAATTTTCATAGTCAGGGTCTCCAAGATTGGGCTGTCGGCTGGAGGCTTTGGACCTGACTTCTCAACGCTTGGACCTGAGTTCCGCTTGTGAATTACTACTACCTGTGAACATGTACATCTAGCAAATTGCCTACTGCCCATGTTCCCTGCGGCTCAGCCAAAAGCCTCTGCACTCGCTTCGCCCAAGAGCGCCTGTCGCTGCTCACTATACTCCTGGCGCAGAAACGCCACCACCTGGGAGGTCCAAACACCGACGAAGACGTCACACCGCTCGCACCACGATCCCAGAAGGAAAGAAGGTCGATGCCTCTGCCTCGCTGGTCGCTTGCTTGCTCAAGACCTGAACACCACAAAACGTCAAATCTGGTGTTTTCTTTGGTTGACAAAACAAGACACACAAAAATACAAAACAAACATTGTCCACTTCGACCAGGTTGAGTTCAATGAAAGCGCCCACCTCCTTGAAAGCACCTGCAGCGTTGTCTCGCTGCACTTGGCATGACCGCAGGTCTTGTTGGAGGTCCTGAGGCAAGAGATGTTTTATGTTGTACTGATTCTCCTTGAGGTGGGGTAGGCATGTACTGCAATTCTATCACACGCGAATACATAACATATATTAACATATAATTATATACTTCTAGGAGGACCCTCTAAAAGACCAGAAGCCATGAGTGCAGAACATGACATAGGCTTGGTGGAATTTGTAAACCAGCAGCAGCTGAGGGCACATCCAAGTGCAAATGTCTGCTGCAAGTGCCCAAAATATTGTCGAAAACACATTATCCAAAAATTGCATCCATGCATTGCAACTACAAGTACCTGGTTCCAAATCCCTCTCCCTACACTGAGATATCCAAGGACCCACTTTTCGGGGTTGTGCCTTCAGAGTCATTAAACAAAAAACGTGACATCGTCTGCGTAAGCGCAACTCAACGAAACAGCACTAACCTGCCAACATCTGGCGTACGCCTTTTTCCTTCCTTTTTTCCTTTTCCTCAAAATATTGCCCCTGGACATCCAAAAAAGCATCTTGAAACAATCTGAAGAAAGGGCTTTCCATAAATTAGACTTCCTGCACAACTTCCAAAATCCCTTGCGTGTTCGTCCAAAAGCACACTGTCTGACAAATTTTAGGATCTCCCCAAAAACCCAACCTGCAAAAAAGCGGGCAGAATTGACGAAGCAAGAGCGGGGCACCTTAAGGGGATTGGCCAACCAATCCACGCGTTGAACATCGTTGAACTATTCCATGCTATTTGACATCCACATGAATACCCCATTCTGAGATCTCTCACTGTCGAGAAGTCCCTGAACTTTGGTCTACAGGGAACAGTTTCAGGCACAAATTTAAACCAGTGTGCTACCTTAGTAGAAAGACCAACCCATGGTGCTTTAGGACTCTTTGTTCACACGCGGCGGCGAACTCTTCCGAACCTTACTAGTAGGTTCCAAAAAAAAACTAAAAAACTAGGTCCTACGTCTTAAAAAAAGGACGAAAAACACACTCATATGACTCATGTCTTCTTGTGTTGCCATAGATCTGCCGGGGGGGTCCTGAATTTTTGTCTCAGCATCTTTGATCGAAGCATCCAGTTCGGTCCTGCACGCTTGAACCCTAATAGAAGAAAAAAAAGCAAGTGTCTCATTTCACTCTCTCTCTCTCTCTACCTTCAGAGAATCTTGATGCGATCTCTTGAAACATCAAACAAGTGGTGAAACCCTCAACCTAAGAGGCTTGTAAGAATTCCCAGCTTTCCTCACCTTACCCGAAGTGTTTGCTTGGCCTGACTACCTCCGACACCATCCGGTCATCCGGTCACCTACTTCGGGTGAGCTTCCTACCTCAGGTCTGCCATCTTCACATTTAGCTCAGTGACAGTGCCTGACCTCGGGCAAAAGCGGAAACTTCAGCTCCAAACCATTCTCTACGTTCCAGGATGTGTCCAAGGGTTCTCTGCAGATCTCACACAGCTGAGCTCGGGGCCAACGTTTCGACTCATCCTCCCGGAATTTCTGTTCCTTTTGCACCTGTGCTTCCAGACCTACAAGACAGAAAACAAGGTAGGTCTCTTCGAGCCTGTTCTTGCAACAAACTCTGCGGAGAGTTTCAAGCGGTTTGAAGAAACCAATTCCAAGCCGAACGTGAAACAAACATCCTTGAGCCCAAAGCTCTGCTCACTTTGTCGCAAAACTGAAAGCTGTCGTTGAAGCACGGCCTGCCAATCCAATGTGAAAGAATCCAGGAGCAAGGATGCTACTAGGGGCTCCTGGCCTTACTACTAGGAGCAAGGACGCTACTAGGGGCTCCTGGCCTTACTACTAGGAGCAAGGATGCTACTAGGGGCTCCTGGCCTTACTGCTAGGTTGGAGGCCATCGCTCTTAGGTTCCTTTTGCTATTAGGTTGGAGGCCAAGCATCTCGCGTCTCACGTCCTTCAATTCGCGTCAACACCCATGGCGGCCTCGGTCTCTTCGGTCCGCTCCAATGAAGAGCGCCCGGTCGCTGCCAAGGCAGCTTCGGAGGCACGGAGCCGGTCTTGGAGGAGCACCTCAAGCAAAGCTAAAGCTGTAAGCATCCATCGCTACGTTCGTAGCGTCCTTGCTCCTAGTAGCGATGCCCTTTGTTCCTAGTAGCAAGGCCAGGAGCCCCTAGTAGCTTCTAGCTACTAGTAGCAATACCCTTGTGTTACTAGTAGCGACGCAATTGATACTAGTAGCAATCTTGAAACATCTTGAAACCTTCAGTTCAACACCTTGCTTGCTATTTCTGTTCTGCAATTGATGTTCATGCTGCCCATGCCCAGCTTTTAAGGCAGCTACTCTCTCCCGATCCCACAACTCTTTGGCCTGCGGCAAAAAGACATGCAAAACGATGCTGTTCTCGCAATGATCTGAGTACACTGGCCATCACTGGCCTCTGCCAGTTGACGCTGAAAGGATTCTGCGCGGCCTGCTCCATAAACATTTGTAGGCAGTAGCGCGGCAGTGAATTTGAACCAAGACCATGACGACCTAGTGGTGTAATCCGCCGACCCCGCTGAGACAGCAGGGGGGAGCGCGTCAGAGAAGGTATATCCGAGTTCTGGCGACACCGCCTCCGTCAGGTCCGTGCTGGTGATTGATAGTTTTTTATTGGTTCCGAAAGTGACGTTAGGACTGGCCGCACCCCAAACCCTGCGCCACCGCCAAACCCCTGCGCCACGTCAGGATAGCAGCCAGAGCCCACGTCACGGCCAAGGTGCCACGTCCCAACCTCAAACCCTGTGCCTGTGCCAGGTCAGGATAGCAGCCAGAGCCCACGGGCTAGCAGCAGGAGCCATGTCAGGATAGCACCCCAGAGCTAGGGGCAGCACCCAATCCCTGGCAGCTGCTGTCTTGATTGATGGTTTTTCCCGAAAGCATTGCGAAGGGTTCTTCCGGAAAATCCCTTGAACACTGACACTTCGACACTTACACTTACACACTGACACTTCCACACTTACACACACACACACTGGAAGAGCGAAAGCATCCAAGTGCGAAGTATGCCAGTGTCAAAGTATGCAAGTGTAAGTATGCAAGCATGATATGCAAGGGTGAGTATGCAATGATATGCAAGGGTGAGTATGCAAGCATGCAATGAGCAGGCAAGTGTGAGTATGGATGAGTATGGAAAACTAGCACGGGAGATATCCTAATGAAAAACATTTCCCCACTTTATAAATTCTCTCTTAAAGGCGGAGTGCGGGACGAACAGCGTCAACCGAAAGTACAACCCTCTGCAGAGATCGTGCGCGTCGAGTGCGCGAAATGCAGGCGAGAGTGCGATTTGCCCGGTGTGCGCGCAACCCTCTGCGGAGATCGTGCGTGTCGAGTGCGCGAAATGCAGGTGAGAGTGCGATGCGCCGGGTGCCCGCGCAACCCTCTGCGGAGATGGTGCGTGTCGAGTGCGCGAAATGCAGGTGAGAGTGCGATGTGCCGGG